CAACACAACGTTTCAGCTGTGGAGCCTTCTTCAGGTGTGAGCTACTTGCTGGTATTATTTTGGTATTGCCCTAGTGAAAACTAGTAGGCTCACACCTGAAGAAGGCTCCACAGCCAAAATATTGTGTTTTCTTTCTACTCTTTTCAGCATGGAATAAACCTATTACTTGTTCCTTTGTAGCCTACGCATGCTGACGCAGCTACCCACCTGAACACAGTAACGTTAATGGATCGTAAGTACTGGAACACATTCAGGTTTAGAGTATAAACTTTATGTGGAATCTGCAACCCATTGATCTCACTAAACTCTTTTTCTGTTACTATCCAGGACACTTTGATGTTAATGCTAATTCGTGGCCTGTCCCATTTTCATCTTGATTTCACCATGTAAAATGCATGTTTATTTGAATTTACATTTGCAGAGTGACTTGGCCAGTCTAAAATTTTGTTACATTTCTTTCTCCTGAAGAATGCTTTGGCACAGACCATATATTCACAGTCGTTGTCTTACTGCATGGTGAAGGACTGACCAGTAAGTACAGAGCACCTATACAATCCAAAAAATACTTCTGAAGATTTCAAAATTTATTCTGCTGCTATCATTAGTTACATCAATAAAGATCAACAAGCAGAAATGCTCTAATCTGTCCATAAAACTGTGCTCCAAACTCCCTTTGCTCATCTTTGCACTTCCAAGCAAAATCTAATCTTTTCTGTTTCTGGTGAGGTTTTCGTCTAGCCATGCAGACTTTGGAATACCAACATCTCAGTCTTCCATTAAAGGTGGATTGTGATACTTTCCCTCCTGCGGGTTGTTCATTATTTCACTGAGAGTTGTTTTAGGGTTTTCCTTCACCAGTTTTCTTGACCGACCAAAAAATGTTTTGATTTGATAAGCCCAATTTCTGTACTATGGTTCTGAGTTTTTTTTCTATTTAAGCTTCAACATTGGCTGCTTTTCATTAGCAGGATATTTGGTTTTAAATACACAAATACTGAAGTAAAAGCCGAACAGGTGGATACAATGTTTACATGTCTTTAATTTATTTGCCTAATTACCCAATAACAAACACACAACTAACAAGAGATACCTCTCAACCAATTATCCTAATGCTTTTGTAGATTCAACATTATCAATTTTAAGTGACCCAAGAGCATAGAACTTAACTGATGTAATTAAAAATAAAATACTTTGGGATTGCACAATCAATCGTTTTTTTCATGGGAACTGGTCATTATTAGAGTCTACACTGAAAAAAAACAGTTAAGGGCACAGTACATCAGGTCTTCTCAAATGAAAATGACAGCTCGTTAGACACGTGCTGTGAAGCCTGTCTTTTCACACCGAAGTTTGCTTTTGAAAAAATCTGTCTTCTGGAAGCAAAGGTTCCACTGAATGTATTACCATTTGAAAAAAAAACCTTTCCAAGTTATGTGAAGCAGAACTTCTTCACGACAGTTTACGGTCCAATGAAAAAGATTTTTTCACATAAACCAAGTCATGTGGCTAAGCATCCCTTTTCCTTTAATTTATTTGTTTAGGATGTTTAATTAGATGAGACTAAAATAAATACAGTGGTCTTCATTTTCTAGTATAAATTCATGCAACATTGAACTTGAATGTCTTGTGTAAAAACTATTTTTAATACTGTTAATACAAGTTTCAGACAGATGTACTGTAAATGACACAAATGACACCTGAAACCCTCTGAACTATGAATCATGAATGAAAGAAGAAAAACCTTTGAAATCTATCTTGTGAAGGAAGATTCTAAATCCCACAGTACTTAACTACTTCCGTCTGTCACCAAAGAGCAGCAGACGGTGTACAGCACCATACTTTCAACAAAGCTGGAAGCAGCACATTAATGCATGCGTGCACAACACACTTTTACACCTTTCACCCCAAAGGAATTACATTTCTCTCCAGCAGGAAACTCTTCAAATATCTCCGGGGTTTAAGGCAGATGTTTTTCTGTATTCATGTGCACATTTTCAGGGACTGTTTTCTTTTCCTCTGGCCACAGAATTATTTACTTAGAAACATTGAGGTATACCTCATTGAAGACCGAGGAATGATCCGATCTGATCGAATCCTCTAGCACGGCTCTGCATTGCTGCAGTGCACAGCTGTTGCACACATACAATTACCATTAATTAAGCAATTCATCATGACAGAACTACACCTGTGACTAACTGCAGACATTACTTGTCACTTCACAAAACTGTGCTAGACTGAATGACTTATACCACATGCCTTAAGCAAAATATTACTGCATTGAACTTGTCAAATACCTGTCACAAAGACATCTGAATAATTTTGAAAGGTATCGGGAGGGCCACATTTCCAAGTTATATTTCACTTACAGCAGATAATTACCAGTACATTTCCTAAGTCAAAATGTAAAAAATCAAAGCCTAGTTATAATGCATAAAAAGTATAATTTTCTAATGCTCATATCTCATATCTTAGATTTTCTTGAAATTATTTATTTTATATGTATAACCAATTGGCATTAAAGTTTTAAAACCGAACATAACAAATGAGGTACCATAATTACAAAACAACTAACAAAAAGTGAGTTTATCAGAAATGAAAGAATGGGGATAACCAAATAAGATTTGAAGATGTGAGAAAACTGCTGAGCATGCGGTCAGAATTTGGCAATTTATTTCTCCGTTTATTTCTCATTGATCCAAGGATCTCATCCAGTTTTCCCAGCATCGCTAGGCAGCTGGTTCCATACTACCATTACCCTTTACATAAAAAACCTTCTGCTTTCTGTTCTTTTACTGTAACATATAAAACCACAACCAAATTGTGCTTTGCTTCATTACATGCTTTAATATGTAAATCAAGAAGTCACAAATGGAGAGGAAAGTAGAAGATAAAAGTATGTGAATTATAACGGGTTTTAAAAAAATGAAAGCTTTGCAGACTGCTGACTGAGCTCTTTATAGAATCTGCAAGATGGTTACATTGTCAACCGCAAAATTCACTGGAAGCTCTATAAACAAAGCTCTAACTTTTGAACTTTTCTCACAGGAAGTTTAGGTACTCAGTGCATGAAATACAAGTACTTTGTAACAAAAGGACATTATTTTATGGAATTCATGAAAGCAGTGAAACTTGGCTTCCCAAAATGAAAGAGTTTGGAGATAATGACAGTGAAGGTCTGTGTTGCACATACTGGCCGTGACAGCAAATTCAATAATGAAGTACAATGATTTGAATTATATTCTTTAATTTGTTTTATTATGATAATAACAATAATCAATAGTACCAAAATTATAATATTACGTTTTTTTTCTGCAATCACTATTGGTAAACTATGGATCGTTAACAATTATAATTGTATAATAATAATGATAATATATAATGGATAATAATAATGTAGTAGTAATGCTTTATAACCCAATTTTTCTGATAACGAATCAGCACTTTTAGAGGTGCTAAAGATAATTACAACCTGGCTTTTCTTTTTAATCCCTACATCTGCCTCACACTTTCCTGTGCCTTTTGTATTAATCTCTACTCTCTCTATAGAGGTCTGCTTTAAAGATCAAAAGGCTGTTATTAAAATAGAACATGTTTGCACAAAAGGACTCAGTGTGATTTATGTACCATGCAAAACAATAGGTTGGCTACGTTAGTTTATTCTGTGCTTTTTTTCTTTTCCTTTAGCCTTCCCACTAGGAGATAAATATATTTCAGCCACCTGTCACTATTATAATGCATGAAACATGAATGTAAACAAAAACCAAGATAGCTATTCCCACAAAATGTATCCTCACATTGCAGGTGACAATCATTGATAATATGTGTCTCTGGACTGACAACTGGTCTGGATATGTGATGAATGATGATATTAAACTTGTAATTACAGGAGTACCACAGAGACTTGTATGAGGACCGCTGCTCTTTTTAACTTATATCACTGATCTAGATTCCAGTATAGTCCTCACAGATGACTTTTTGTGTAAATAAGGCAATGTGTTACATGCATGTAGTAGAAAAACTGACATTGAGCTTAAAGAAGCTATAAAATAGCTGTTTGTGTTTTCTGGACAATATGAGGATAAATAAAAAGACTAATAGAATGTTAGTATAGAGTTAAAAGTTACATTAAGTATGCATTAATGAACATTTCACAAGGCTGCAGAGAGACTCGTGCTTAACCTTTGCTTGTACAACAATATAATGGAGAAGGCATTTAAATGTTCTTTTCAATGGACAAGTATTCAACACGATCTCAGTTCATTAGTATGAACTGCAGATTACAAACATTTACCATCAACAGATTTTCAGAACAAAGGCCTTTGTGTCTTCAGAAAGTTTTCTTGACCGACCAAAAAATGTCCAACAGATATGTTTCTAAAATAAATGATCATCTACTTATGGGTCTGAGACCAGTTACAAACTAAATACCAGTCAGTATTTGAAATATTCATCCTAAACGTCATGCTCTTCCACACGAAAAAGAATGAAAACATTCTGTTTCCGTTGATAACAGATTCTACTAATGTTTAGGCAGGAGGCCTAGCATTTGGAATAAAAACCATGACATGTTATTTAATTAATAAACTAATATCCTTATTGTGCTAAGAGCCTACATTTTTATTTCAGTGATTCTATAGTAGAACATAGAGCCTCAGGAATTCATGTGTAGGTCTATTAACTAAAAGTGCATTTAGGGCCTTAATAATAAGAGCTTATTAATGGGGATGGCAATGGGAATTTTCAGTTACCTAATGAACTCTCACAAAATGTATCAATAATCTTCAGTGTTGCTCCTGTTCCTCCCACATCACCCTTCCAGGATACAAGTCTTAAGAGCTAAGACTGATTATAACCACCCAAAGAAGCAGCTGAACATTTTGCTCACGCACAAAGAACCCACAGAGGTCTGCGTGCCGCAGTGGGACTGAGGCTTTTCCTTCAGCAGGTCAGAGGCAGCAGCTACAAAACAAGAGAATGAACAAGCCAGCATGTCCACCTACCTCGAGCCACTGGCCGTGAGACTGCATCTTAAGGATCACGCAGGGGTCTGGTTTGGAAAGAGCATCTCGGTCGGAAATCCCCTTGCATGCCACCCGCAACTCAACTTTGGTCAGACAGGGGCTGTTAAAGAGTCCTAGCGTGTTTGCAGCCGACTCGTAGATGTTGCTCATTTTCTTTTGCAACGAGCTGGAGTGTGCTGGAGACAGTGAAAAAGAGGAAAGTTGGAGTTAGAAATATGACAATGGCGGAGGATAAGACGGGGGGTTCAAGCCAGTGGGCTGTGTAAGGCCGGTTCCCGGGAGGATGACTGGCACTGTAAGTGTCTCCCACTTTATTTACTTATTTATCACACCGCTGGGGGTTGGAGCGACATGCCATAGACCTGAGATCCTCGATCGATGAAGCCCAGCAGTCGCTGTGTTGTGATTGGCTTAACAGTAGGTGACATTTACTGCAAAGGTCAGGACGAGCCCTGATTTCAGGCTACGGTGCTCTTGTGAAGGTCTTGTTAGGAGCAACACCTGAGACGTGTAGGATTGCCGACAAGCCCATCGCTAGATTTCAGTGGACGCAGGAAATGACTAAATACTTCAAACCTACATTCTGCTTCTAATATATATATCTATCTTGTCGATAAATGTATTACTGAGGGTTGCCTAGATAGAGTATACCAACAAGAAGTCACTGGTATCAATGACTACTGAGTACATAAATGGAATCTTTTCAGCTGTCAGTGTCCGAGCATTGGTAATAATCGGCAGTGAGGAGGTGTAGGACATGCACTATTGTTTGAGATCCTCTCCAGTCTAAAATTTGGATTCCACAGTGACAAAGCTTTGGAATTCCTTTTTCCATAGCCATGTTCAGGCATCTTTGTTAACCTTCCCTTTTTTTCTACTGTGCAGACCTCACGTTCACTGAGGGTGCAGAGGTCTTTTCAAATATATTTCACTGCCGGTGGCCCTGCAGAAAAGGCCACATTAAGATCTCTCCATAGTTTGCATCATTCCAACGGTTTAAAAGTGATTTTAAAATGCTGAAAACACGCAACAAAAAAGTAACAGTGCTAACAGTACTGTGCTAACAGCAAAGTAAAACTGTAAATTAAATTGCACATATGAGTATCTCCTTCACACAGATTGAAAGGATGTTTTTCTTAACAAAAGTGCTGCATTATAATTGGATTTAGATAGATGTTTACAACATGTGAAACCCAACAGGTTAATGGCAAGTGACAAATAAGAAGAACAGTCCTGGGCTAATCTCAAAGCAATTAAATCTCCCATGAATAAAGGAAAAATAAGACTGGCCCAGCGTTGCAGCCTATCTTGTATCTGTCCCTTCTGTTTTTGTAATGAGTTTCTGTGAATCTTATTTCAAATGCAATCATTTTCTGCTGTGGCAACCTGCTCAACAGGTACAAATATTAAATTCCTCTGCAGTACCAAAGAAATGTGGATGAAAATTCAAATTGAAAAAGCATCTGGACCAAAGGTCACTGCAATCAAGAACATGAGACTGGATCTTGCTTGAAATAAGCACTGCTGTAGACCCCTCGGACTGAAACGTCCATCTACTATTGTGCAAAACTTCTAACCTGGTGATTTTCAAATGCCGAGCAGGTCCTGGTGTTGATTACCCTGGGGAAAAACATCTCTGCCAAATGAAATGAAAGCAACCCCATGGCTAGACACTCCACGAAAGAGGAGGAAATGTCAAATGGCGTAGCTGTAATGCTCTTTATAATTTAATGTAACGGAACATGGACAGTACGTCTAGCAACACTGATTAATTTTAAAGCATTGTTGACTAACTAGAGATTCTGCAGTTCTGAAGGGAAAACTGGCATTTATCATGCTAGTCTCACATTGATTCACTCACTTTCAATATTCATTACTGTTACTACAAAGTGATCAGAGCCTTTATTTTGATTTGCATTCTGATCTTTTATGGGACAGCAAAGCATCTGGCTTGATGTAACTTTCTGCGAATATGCGGGTTATGATACAAACCACTCACAATATCAGAGGGCATTCTTGCACATTGATATTCCACTAAAATTTAAATTTAATGCACAGAGCCTGTGGCTGGGATGTTCCACCATAAGACCTGAAGGCAGATCTCTGAATAAAAGCAGAACCCTCTCACAGTTCAGCATGATAGTCATCTAGTCTGATTTGTGCTCCTGCATATCTCATGAATCAGGAAATCCTACCAGTTTGGGACACCTGATGCAGTTTTAAGAACTTTAAGAACAGGTTCAAGGCTCCACTATCTCACCTCCAAAAGTTTACTGTGGGTTTAGCCTCAAGCAGCATAAGGCAGGAGCAGGCTTAGTCTGAAGTTCTTAAGAGGATCTCTGACACATGATGTCCAAAAATGACACTATGTCTTTAAACAAGATTTATCATCAGCAGGTTCAAATTTGTGCACAAAGGCCTCAAATTTCACCTTTGAATGTTGAGTCTTGATTTTGAAACAGAAATAGTATTAGAATAATGCTTGGTAGTCTGAGAAATGTGTAATAAAAGGAAATAACAAATGGGATGCATTTCCATGTGGTGACACAGAAAAAAAAACCTATTGATCATAGGCATGATTTCAGTATTTCAAGACATTAGACACTAAATACAATTTCAAACACATGAATTATTTTGGTGTTATGTTTAAGTAGATATGTAGTATATACTTTAGTATTCACTCAAAGAAATAAAAATGATACTTATATGTGATATGCAGTATAAATACTTCAATAGACCCAATATATCTGCATCTGTACAGTGCAGTGGTTCCCAATTATTTTATACTGCAGGATTCTTCAGTCACCCTAAAGTGAAGGGACAACAGGTACTGTACAGTACAGTATATACCTTGGTACTCTTTAGCACTCATCTGCTCATTTAGCATCCTGTTACACAGGAGTTTTGTCCAGAAAAACGTTCTGAATATATTTATATACATCCTGATATCTTGATATCCTGATATCCTGATAAGGAAGGATCCCTGCTTATAACTTCTGAATCCGTAAAATGTATTACGATCTACTCAGGATGTGCCTGCCACCTGCTCAAGGGAACTGGCTAAGGACAGTTCTCTTCATCTCACTACAGTGATTCCTGTTCACTAAGTCCCTTGTAAGTCCTGGCAGAAATCCCTCAACCTGCCAGAGCTGAATGGCTCATTAACACGTGGAAAAGGCTAGACAGTCTGGGTTCAGAAGTTCCAGCTGCCTTCTCTGTGCTTTTTCCCTATTAAGGGTTGAGAGCAGTGGATGTATAAGCTATTTTTGCTGTCTTCTCACATCTTTCTCGTATTTCTATCAGACTTTTTTTTTCCTGTTACCCACTGTTTGCTTTGGTACAGTGTTGTGCTGCGTTTTCACTTTTGTATGAGAACAACTGCTTTCCCTGCATTACAACAACACTGTAGATTCCTGTAATCACCAAGCCAGGCAAGTTCGTAGATGATCCCAAAACTGGAGGATTAGCAAACACTGTAAAAGAAATTCTGAGACACTTAGACCACAGTCTTGGAAACTGACTGGCAGATGGGATTTAATGTTGGCAAGAGCAGACTGTTGCATGCAGGTAGGTTAGCAAAAACAAACTATAAATATCATATTGGGATCACCAAGATAGAACTGGATTTTAATGAGAATGACATATATGGACAGTGTGGGAACATCATAAATAACAGCAAACAGATACAATATATCATTAAAAAGTATAGAATTTCTAACAAGGAATGTTAAAATTGTACAATCTGATCATCTTCATTTAGAATATTGAATACAGTTTTGGTTGTCACAATGCCAAAACTAGAAAGCTTCCCGTTTGGAGTCAAACCCAAAGAGGAGCGACCTGTTACACTCCTGTAGAACAAAAAAAACAAAAGTCCTATACTTAGAAGCTAAAAAAACTTAACCTTGAACAGAGAAGACTGTGAACAGACCACATTGCAGAAGCCCAGATCCTCAAAGTCACATCTCACTTACAAAGTGAACCCAGTGGAGTTGTTCAGAATTGACAATGAGACATGCTGGGGGAGTCCTGAAGCAGCTACCCAGCCAAGCTGTCTAAGCCGATGCCCTGACGTCTTTCAGGAAACAGCTGGGCAGGTTCTCGGATCAATTCCCCTCTCGTAACCAGATGAGCTAAACAGGCTGAATACCCTTCTGTCCCTATAACTCATAGGAAGAAATATCACCATCCTAAAAGTCATTAATCGATAAAGGACAGTCATGTGCCTATTAAAAACATGCATTGCCATCATCCGTGATGAGGCGCCAGCATTGCGCTTTTCCATTCTTTAGTATTATCCTGCCATGTGCCCCCAGCTTTATTTAACTCGATGAGGGCTTATCTCCATCTCCGTAATTATAATTCACAGCGTACCGCTTTACCATTTCTCTGTGCTAGATGAGTTTATGATTCAACACATTACTAGAAGGACTATAATATCATAAGAAGCCCTGTTCTACTGAGTCTGCTGACTCCTTATTGGATTGGGGTGTTGAGAGGTGAGGTTTCATTTATTGGCATGTTGGACTAATGGCTCTATTTAGTTAGAGCTCCACATCTCCTGTAGTTATACAGACAGCAAACCCATCCTGGGACCTCACAGTCAGGGTTCGCAGTCTGGAATAAGAATTTAAGGATGTTCAGTGCCCCACCACTTAAGTTTAAGGGATGCAAATGACAATTTACAGCTATATAAAGCTCAAGTTATTATGCCTCAAGCATTCATTAGTTAAGCGTGTATGAGAACAGTGTAATGTTTGTGAATGAACATGTAACGACTCTGTTCCTCGCAGGGTACTAACATTGTTATTGCTCCCTTACTGTATTACTGATTATAAAGAATCTGAATTCTTGACCCCTAATCTAAAGTGCTCTTGATAAGCATGTGGTACAGGACGCACCCCAGCTAAATGTTGGGTGCTGTCATGTTTGCATTGTATAATGATTAGCGAGCACAGGAGACAGTGAGGTCTATTTAGGTAAAGGTTACTGTATAATAAATAAAACAAAATTGGCACCTTTGTGGCGAGGGGCTGCTCACACATTACAGTGTAAGGGCATAGTAATTCCCTCGGTTTTGGGAAGGAGTCCTCTTGCTTCCTTATTTTCTGGAGAGGAGGTGGGGGTTGGGCTTGTTATTTATAGTATTTCTGGAGGGGGGATCCAGAGGTCCAAC